TTGTATAGTAACAAAACCACAATTTGGCCAGAGTTTTAGATGCATATTCATTATAGGTTAGGTCTAGAACCACAAGTTGGCCATTTATAGATTATAGGTTAGGGCTAGAACCACAAGTCAGCCGGGTTGTAAAATAGACTATTTAAGGAGGGCTGCTCCCCCCTTCATTCCAACTTTTCATCATCTCATATCATCTCATCACAACAGATCATCATCTCATCTGATCATCAACCAGACAGAACAGAGCAATCAATCCATACATTAAACAGTGTGATCTTAATCAAGTGCCCCACTGAGATCATTCAGACTTTGAGAAGCATAGCGAAAGGAAAGTAAACAACCAGTACAACTTGTCATCTTAAAAACAAGAGACAGTGATCTTAAACCATTGTGCTCCCAAGCAAGGTTAAGGAAGAAGGAAAAGACAAATAAACACACTTTTTTTCTCAGTAGTATCTCATAAATTATCATTCATTATCAGTACATACATCAATCATTTTGCAATATACATAAACATATAAAAAGAAAACACCTCTTACTCAATAATTCCACTCCAATAGTCTGCTGAATTCACATTGATCTAGGTTTGATAAGAGACTGATACACATAGTGTTCTCTATCATCAGTTTTGCCACAACAATAAATAAATTGTTGTGTTAACTCTTGTGTAGTACAATAGAGGGGCAGGTCTTTCAAACCAGCCGTAACAGTTGTAGTAGATCATTACATACGTGATATATCTCATCTGTTATTTCCCCCTCACAGGACTGCCACCATTCCCAAAGGAGTTCTCACAGCGTCAAGAGTGTTCATACCCTCAACGGCCGAGAGGGGTTCTCCTCTCAGCCGTTGAGAGTGTATACTCTTGACGGTGAGGGGAAACCCTCTCGGCGTTGAGAGTGTACATACCCTTAACAGCCGAGAGGGTTTCCCCTCTTGGCCGTCGAGAAGGTGCTCTCAGAGGCGATTCTTCCCAGCTGCTGCCGTGAGGTGGGGGTTGGTTTGGTTCATCAACCCCCAAACCCTGGTCGGTTTGGGAGGATCGACTCCCAAACCAACCGGGGTTTTTTATTTATTTTTATTTAAATTTTTAGGGAGTCGACTCCCAAACCGGTCGACGGTTTTGGGGGATCGACTCCCTAATTTTGGGGGTTTCGGTGTTTGGGAGTTGACTCTCCAATTTTGGGGAGTCAATTAACCAAGCCTCTATAAAGAATATAATTCTTATTCTGATAGTAACCTGAGTAATGTTATTTGTTTGATGAGTCTAATACATATTCATCAATAAGAATGATTTCTTGGTTATTCAGTTTTCTCTTTTTATTATTACCGAAAAGAGGCTTGAGAAGTGCCGCCTTCCTTCTTGCCACTTATTGGTGAGAATACACGATTGATGAGTTTGTTTGATGTTGATCTTTGCAAGAGTGAGCTGAACAGAATGATAATGATGTTTTGAGATGAAAGGAATCAGAACTTCTGTTCTTTTGGTTCACTTCCTCTCTCTTGTGATCAAATCAATCAAGGCTCTCCTAGAGCTTGATGATTGATCACAATCATCATTCATGTTTAAGCTCATGACATTAGTGACATCATCTATTGATTTGCAAGCTAAAAGCTTGGTTTTCTCTTGTTCTCTTGTGGAACAGTCTCACTCTATGCATGATCAAGATTTCATTGATCAGCGCAATGAAAATTATTTTTTTCAAGAAGTTTATCAATCAAGTTGATAAAATTTCCTGACATTCTCCTCTTTTGAGGGCTAAGACAAGGAATGATATTCCAACACCATTGTGGTCCCTAAATTGTGTCCCTATCACACATTTAGAGACCAGAGACCAAAAAATGTCCCCCGCTGCAGTCCCCATGGGCCATCCACATCCTTATCTTACAGATTTTATCCTTGGTCCCCATGCAGACCCTGGATCCAGGAATTGGATACAGACCAAGGATTGTGCACTCACAGCACTCCTCAATGTAAATGTCACACCACATCACACTACAGCTTTGTGCAACAGCTTGTCAACACCACACTGATGCTGAAAAATTGTGTTGATTTACAGACTGTCTGGTGTGGAAGAACAAGCTTGTGAGTCCCTATCTGCATTGTGGAGTCCATATTTTCACTCAATAGGAACCCAAAAAATGGAGATGCTCTAAGTACACTCATTTGCTTAGGTAATATGAGCTACAAGACCTTGTGAAACCCACAAGATCAGGGGAGCTTCACAATAAATAACAGGTAAATTTCTGTAAGAACCTGTATGGCTCCTAGAAACAGATTTAGAGCTAGGCAAACCTCATTTAACGGTATAGAGTCAACTTCCTATTAACCCATACCCCTCAGTGGAATTGTTCAGAGGGACTATGGGTTAATAAGTAGAGATGGTCGAAGGATATCCCTTGCGGATATCCGTTATCCGCTGGCGGATACCCGCCAGTGCCAGCAGATACCCGCCAGCGGGTGCGGATGTCCCATTTCCCCTAAAATCCAGGCGGATATCCGGGTATCCCAAGGGATACCCAATGCCAAGACAGTGAAAATATTTTTTTACCAAAAAAAAAGAAAAAAAATTCCCCCCCTCGGCCTAGAGAGCAGAGGCCATGTCACCGGGAGGAATCCCTCCCGGCGAGCTGGTTACATACCATCTTGTCGGGAGGAACCCCTCCCGACGAGCTGGTCTGAAATCCAGCTCGCCGGAGGTGGGGGGGATTTCTCCCCAACGAGCTGGGTTAAAAACCAGCTTGTCGGGAGGGGTTCCTCCCGGCGAGCTGGTATGTACACCAGCTTGTTGGGAGGGATTCCTCCCGATGCGCATTTGCCCACCAGTAAATGGGCGGGTATCCGCAGATATCCGCGCGGATACCCGCCAGCGCCAGCAGGTATCCGCTGGCGGATGCGGATGCCTATTTCCGCTGAAATTGCCAGCGGATATCCGCATCCGCGCGGATATCCAGATTTCAATCGACCATCTCTATTAATAAGATGGGTTTACCAGCCATTGGTCAAATACTCTCCCATTTGTTAATGGGGAGGATGGGTTAATAGGGAGTTGACTGTAGAATTGATTGTGAGGTATCAAATTTTTCTAACTCAAAAATCAGCAGTGCATCATTCTTGATTTCTTGATGTTTTTCATTCAGTTTTGGTTTGTGGACAAACCAAATAGAAAATTGAAACCAAAAAGCTGTAATCCATGGTACACCCCACAGTCTACAGAGGACCCTGGAAAGCCCTAGGATAGAGGGGTGTAAAAAGAGTCCAAATTTTGGCAAAATTCAAACCTGGGGGGGCCACAGGGAGTCAAAGGGTATGCTCAGGCCAAAATATCTTAAAAGAGGGGGAGCCCCCGTTAAAACTTCCGGTCTGGGGCTGAATTCCAAGATTATATTGGTTTTAACACTACAAACAATACTGATTTTGCCCCAAGGAAAAATGGCAATTTGGATGGTGGAAAATAGATCAACTTTCTGGCACTTTATTTACAAGATGCCTCAGGAGTAAAAAATTAGGCTAAAATGAGCTATTTTAGCCAAAAAACAAAAATTTCTCAAATGAGCTAAAAATTCATTTTGGAATGTGTGATGAATTTCTATCTCTGGGCTAAAATAGCTCAGTTTAGCCTAATTTGTACTCCTGAGGCATTTTGGAAAAAAGTGCCAGAAAATTGATCCATTTTCCCCCACCCAAATTGCCATTTATTTTTGGGGCAAAATGGGTATTGCTTGTAGTGTAAATAGGTTCACATACCTATTAATGGCATCTTCCATGAGTACCATTTTGGCAAAAATCACCAATTCATACCCATTTCAAGAGTATGAGCTTGGCATTTGTGCCATTTCCCCATACCTTTTTCAACACCCCTCTAGTGGGGGCTTTCCAGGGTCCTGCCCACAGGCCCGTAAATTATTGTGGGAAAATTCAGGGCCAGTAATGTGGGATTCAATTTTGAAAAACCTGTGTTTTTTCTGCCTTCTTCACAAAATTTGATAGAAAGTGGAGAGCTCTAATATTGAAAGTCTTCACTTCTATGCAAATGACTGGCTTATGGTGATGTTCAATTGTGATGAAATGATCATTTGAGTAAGATAAATTCTGAAAAATTGAACTTTTGTACCCTGTGGTACCGGCCCTTACCATTGAAGGCGCAGTAAGGGCCTGTACCATAGGACGTGAAAATTCAATTTCTCAAAATTTATCTTGCTCAAAATTTTATATTATCAAAATTGACCATAACTAGAAGCTGGTCTTTGGCATGAAAGTGAAGAATTTCAACACCAGATCTCTCCAATTGTTCCCAGTTTGTGTGTAGAGGATGGAAAAAATGCACATTTTTGAAAATTGAACCCTACGGTACAGGCCCTAAATCTGGCCTTACGGGGGCTGTCAAGTTGATGGAAAGTGGTCCACTCTACCAAAACCCATAGGAGCTGTATATCCAAGTGGAATGGGGTTCAAGTCTCCCAATGTCAATGAAGAAGCGATCAAACTCTCCAGATGGAACCTTGTTATGGCTCATCCATTTTGTGCCAACATCGCTCAGGGAATGTTTGGTTGTGTAGCAGTTAAATTGCGTTTAGTGGAGCCTTTGATGATTTATGTAATTGTCTAATATATAAAGAGCCTTGATATGCCTATAGGTGTCAATCGTACCGTTGAGTTTGATATCACCTCCTTTTCCTTTTCTGATGGTATCCTTTTAACCAGATACACAGCCTGATGTTAAGCTGTTTAAGTTTTGTTTGTTGATCGCAAGGGGATGTGGTGGTCGAAAATCCAGGTTTGCAGTCAGCAACCCAACGCGTCACACGCGTCGACAAACGCGACTGATTGGTACTTTTTGAGAAGAATGGGAAATCTGAAAGGACCAAGAACCACATCAAAACACACAGTTGTTGGTGATGTATCAGCAACCACGATTCGGTCTGCTGCTGACCATTAACTTCTTTAACGACGCTCACGGGATAATCGGCCATTTGAAATCAGTGACCAACCTATCGCGATGGACAAAAACCCAACAGACGACCTACAAGAACGACTCGGCTTCAAAGGTGTGTAACACAAAAAAAATGGCATCCTCTCTATCCCAACCCAGTTCTGTCATCCTTCTGACTTTATAGTTATTCAATTACCTGTCCTGTCTAGATCTACAAGCTGCCCAGGATTGGCTCGCGAATAACCCTCGGGGACGACTCGTTGGCGTACTAGATGCGTCCCAAGTAGTCGAGCACTGTCAGAGTCATGCTTGTCTAGCAGAAAGACGATCCCTCAAGGCGCAGGTCGCAAGTCTCAGCGAAAAGATACAATCATCATCACCGACAAATCCATCCAACGACCGCACCGATACCGTGCCTTCGATCGTCCCCAATATTCCTTCACCCAATACTTCTTCTGACTCGCTTCTTCGGTCTACAAACCATGAACTCAAGACGAAATGCGACAATTTGGTCGAAAGTCTTAGGACTGAACGCGAACAGTTTGAAAAAGAGAGGCAGGCTTGGACGGCCTTCAAGAGAGATTACGCTACCATCGTCGCATGTAAGATTATTGAGGAACAGCACAAACAGGTTAGAGATTTTTGACCCGATTCATTGATCAAAGAGAACGCATCTGATCATTCATATTTCAACCCACAAGGCTTCCGCATCTCACCACACTCCCCCTGTACCCACCGCCAACAAGGACCCGCTCCCTGCCAAGGGAGAATCGGCAACTACCTCAGTTGCGCGGAAATCATCTGACTTCGCCGGACAGAAGACGGAGTTAGAGCCGAAGGACGTGCCATGTAGGATGTTCAATACGAAGCGGCCGTCGGAGCTTGAAGGAGACACGAGGTCTTCAAAGTCTCCCATCCGGGTACGGTCGGCCCTCAAGGTGATCAAGTCGCCCTCACCGCGCAAATCTCCATCGAGCAAGCCCTCGCCGCGGAAGGATGTCCCATCCCACCGGGTCACGCCCCGTCTTCCCGACCATCTCAAGCGCAAACCGCAACTGACGACCCCACAGAGCGCCCGACAGAGCCGTGCATCCGGCTCGGCTCGCTCGGGACTCCCCACTCCTCAATGGATTCGATACTCTGATCGCAAGGCTCGGCATCATAAACAGATCTGGAACGACGATCCTTCAAAAGAACAACCTGACAATCCTGTCACAGACACGCCGTTTACATCCAAGAAACGCGACGCTCGTCAGCTCGTAACCGAGCAGAACGCGTTTCTTGCCCCTAAGAAACTGGCCGAGACCCAATCGAAGAACGAAAATCCGGGGGAGAAGAATGGAGATCCTTCGACGACGAAAGAAGATCGACCGCCGAGGAAAGATTCATCGATGAAGAACGAGCCAATGATGAAGAAAGATTCATCGATGAAGAAAGATCTACCGGCGAAGAAAAAAGATTGCGCATCGGTGGCCCCAGTAGCAGCTGAGCCGTACGAAGAGCTATCGACGACGGAAGAAGAACCGGAGTGCGAGTCGCGGGAGATTGTAAAACCCAAAAAGAAGAAGGAGGAGGAGGAGGATGATAGGAAAGAAGCAGACAGAGAGGGATCGAGAGGGATGTCGAAGGGGAAAGGACGACGCGAATCGGCGCAGATCCGGTCGAGCCCACCGAGCTCGGAATCGATGGCCGATGAAGACAGCAGACTCTCCGGGCCGGAGGATTTCCCGGGCCAACGATACATGCGACTGGTGCACAAGAAGCGTCAAAGGGCGCTCGCCAAACGAGTCGGCCGGCGTTCTTCTTCTTCTTCCCACTCCAACTCTCGGAGCTCTGTCCTGCCGCAACAAGAGCCTGCTGCGCGGCAGAACCTGAACCTCTTGGACACGTTCCAGATCGATCCTAACAATAACTTCAGGCGTCAGTCATGTGTTTGATGAGGTCGCTAGAGGCAAACAGGTCCGCAAACAGAATGCATGCTCGTGGCTGTGAATGTTGTGATGGAGTTTGTCTCGGTTTTTTTTTTTCGTCTGCTGTCTCCCTTCCTACTCCCCCCCCCCCCCCTCTCCCCGTTCATTCCTCCATGGTCTTTTTTTCCCTAAAATAATTGACTCTTGATTTGCTTGTTTTTGGGGGTTTGGTGCGTGGTTATCTTGGAAAAAGTATTATCAACAAGCTGCTAAAGATCTTAATGATCGGTCCGATCACCCCGTCGATCCAGCGACATCGGTTTCTCGACACCAACACGAAATCTCTCGCCATCGACACTTCAATCCTCCCCCGCTAACCCCACCCGGTTACTGGTAAAACTCCTCCTTCTCTTTCTCCTTTTTTTTGTTTGCAATTTTTTTTGTTTGGATACTTATCCTCATTTTTTTTCCCCATGAATGTGATGTTCTGTTATTCTTAGGCAGATGGGGTTCCCTGATACCCAACGAGTCCAAGAGATCAACCAACTTGCCGAGGCGAATAAGATCGCTAAGTTTCAGAATATCGAGCTCCAAGCCAGGTATAATCAGTCTTTTTTTTTCTTTCAATCCCTCTGCTTCATCGTCTCTCCTTAATGGGTTGGTATCTCTCATCACTTATTTCTTTTTTGTAGGAATGGGACCGGTCCGTATAAGTATAAACAGCCTTGAATCTTCTGGTTTCAGTGTGCGTTGTTTTACATACATGCATGTAGACATATATCTTCTCTCTATCTCTCTCTTTTTGTGGACTTACTCGACGCCTTTTACAATTTTATCTCTCTCTAAATCTTAAGGACTGGTTATCTTTCATCATAAGTTTCAATATTCATCAGATGATCGATTGTACAATGTTGTTTTCTCTTCTCTAGCTTGTCTTCACCAAAAAAAAAAACAATGAAGGCTTAAATGTAGTAAACCATAGACTCGAGAAGTGGTTTGGAGTGTTCTAGTAATAGATGAAGTTCGTATGTATGATGTATATAGATGTGAATAGACTAATGGCCGTTTGAGGTTGAGAATGAAAGAAACAGAGGCTGGATGAGTTCCTTGGGAGTGGGTGGATGAGGGGGATATGGTTTGGTTGTGTTGTGTGAGTGTGGTGGGTGAGGGTGGTTGGTGGTGGTTGGTGGTTGGTGGTAGAATCTGATGCTTACATAAAGTTGGGATTGGATTGGCTTACAGCAGCACCAGCACAGCGACAGCAGCTGCAGGACCACCCAAGAACAAACCACAGCAGACTCAAACCACCCACCACTAACTCACTAAGCCACCACTAACCACCAACTTCAAACAGTCAACAAGATGAAGAAAACCATGCTAGGGAAGATGGTAAGCAAGCAAACAACAACAACAACAACCAACAACAACAAGAAACACTAATACCCCTCTGTTCGACTCGAATATATAGCTATCTCGCAAGGACAAAGACAACCAATCGAACAGCAGCAGTACCGGCTCAATCGGCCGATCATCAAAGGACAAGTCAACTGCCTCAGAATCACAATCAAACATCCCTTCACCAGCCAGCTCACAATCTAACCTGAACAACAACAACAACAACAATCATAATCATGGTCAACAACAACCACAACAGCAACAACAACAACAACAACAAACAAACAGCAGCTCAGCATCTGCCAGTGGAGGGAGCATCGGCCGAGCTGCTGGACTATTCAGCCGCTCCTCTTCCTCACCAGCACCACACCAACAACAACAACAACAGCAGCAGCAGCAAACTTATCAACAACAACAGCAGCAGCACTCGGCACCCTATCTTCCAGGTCGCAATAACCCCAGCCAAAACAGCGTCCCAGGTATCCTCGTCAGTGGTGACAACGTAAGTAGCCATCCCACCTAGAGCTCACCCCACATATCAAAACTAACTCTCTCGATCTTCCTGCCCCAGTCGACCGTCATGCCAATCGACCCCTTACCCCATCCATCAGCCTCTCTCCATCATCCTGTCTCCCCCGGCTCTCCTGCCGGCGCGCTAACATCCCCAAACAGATTGAACAGCAACCCCTCCAACCAATTCGTCACCCCTCAAACTCCCCCCAAGGCCGGTCCGATCGGCAAACTTCAGGGTAAGACTAACGTCGTCCCCGTCCCTCCCGGCGTCAAGGATACGATCCCGATGGCCAAGACCCCTCGGAAACAACGTAGTAGTCGGTTCCATGTCACCGAGAAGGTCGAACTCGAACGTCTTCCGAGCTTTCATGGCAAGCCTCCTGCTCCATCTTCTTTCTCTCTCTCTCTCTCTCCTCCTTAGCCGTTCTATTCGTTCGTTTTTGACCATCGATCCACTCTTCTTCTCTCGCGTTCAACAGAAGTCAACCCTCAGGATCGACACTCACTCTTCATCCAAAAGCTCCACCAATGCTCCGTAGTCTTTGACTTCAACGACGCCTCCTCCCAGCTCGCCTCCAAACAGATCAAGGGTGCAGCCTTACACGAGATGCTCGAATGGATCACCACCCAACGTGGCGTGATCACCGACGCGATCTACCCCGAAGTCGTCTCGATGTTCGCCTCTAACCTCTTCCGCTCCATCCCCCCTCCCGTCAATCCGACCGGGGACGCGTATGATCCCGAGGAAGACGAACCCGTACTCGAACTCGCTTGGCCTCACCTTCAGGTCGTCTACGAATTCTTCCTCCGCTTCGTCGAGAGCCCTGACTTCAATACCAACGTTGCCAAACGGTTCATCGACCAGGCCTTCGTCCTCAACGTCAGTCACCCACTCATTCCTCTCCCTACCCTACCCTACCCTACCCTACCCCCTTTTTTTGTATGAACCATACTGACTGCTACGGATCGATGTACAACAGTTACTAGAACTCTTCGATAGTGAGGACCCTCGAGAACGTGATTTCTTAAAGACGACGTTACATCGGATCTATGGCAAGTTTCTCAACCTACGAGCGTTCATCAGACGGTCGATCAACAACGTGTTTTATTCGTTCATCTACGAGACCGAGCGCCACAATGGAATAGCTGAGTTATTGGAGATCCTTGGCTCGATCATCAACGGCTTTGCCTTGCCACTTAAGGAGGAACATAAGACCTTCCTCATGCGGGTCTTGATTCCCTTACATAAGGTCAAAGGGCTTGCGCTCTATCATCCTCAATTGGCCTACTGCGTCGTCCAGTTCTTGGAAAAAGATCCTGCGTTGACCGAGGATGTCGTGCTTGGTCTCCTGCGCTATTGGCCTAAGGTTAACTCCCCAAAGGAAGTCATGTATCTTAACGAAGTCGAAGAAGTCTTGGGTAACTTTCTCTCTTCCTCCTCTCTCTCTCTCTCTCTAAAAATACTCATCTGGTTATCTTTGTAGATGTCATCGATCCGGTTGAATTTCGGAGAGTTGCTACGCCTCTCTTCAAGCAACTATCGAGGTGTGTTAACAGTCAACACTTCCAGGTGCGTCATCTCTTTTCTTTTCTTCTCTTCACGCACACCTCTTCTCTCCGTCGCTCGTGATTCTCATGATTCTTTCTGGCGATACAGGTCGCCGAACGAGCTTTATATTACTGGAATAACGAGTACATCGTCAACTTGATTTCTGATAACGTCCACGTCATCCTTCCACTCGTCTTCGATGCTCTGTATACTAACTCGAAGATGCATTGGAGTCGGTTAGTATTCTTCCTCTTTTTTTTTTTTTTTCTTCAAAAAAGAGAAGACTGGGATCGTTGGTTAATTTCTCTCTATCTTTTTTTTGCAGTCAAATTCATCAATTGGTCTTCAATGCTTTGAAGTTGTTCATGAATATGAATCCGGTTTTGTTTGAGCAATGTACGGATCAATATCGAGAGACTCGACAGAGGTAAGCTTCCTACTTTTCTTAACTCCGAGGGGATCATGAACTGAAGTGGGCTTCGTTTTGAATAGGGAACAAGAGCGAATGATACAGAAAGAGAAGGCATGGAACGAGGTGCGAGACACGGCGATAGCGAACCAAGGGAACGTGGGCCAAATCCCGGCTTCGGTGCTTGCGCCGATCCCGCCGACGACGCAGATGATCGACATGAGTGTGTTTGATGACGACTTGATCCACGGGTTACAGGGCGACTTCCCAGGGCAACCTCCCTCGAACAACCCAACCGGGCCCCCTCCTGCTGCTCCTCAACAGCAACAACAACAACAGGATGGAGCGGTCGGGGTTTCCGTCGTTCTCTGATCCCGAACATCGATCCTTCTGACGACTTCGGCCGCCCTCCAACAACACCATCAACAGGCTTTTGCTAACCAACAACACCAACAACAACAGCAACAACACCAACAACAGCAGCAACATTATCAACAGCAACAGCAGCAACAACAACATCACCAACAACAACAGCATCCCAACTTTCCTAACCTCGACGATCAGGCTCAAGATATGAAACAGTTCCCAGAAACCGCGCGTCAACAAGTGGCTGCTAATGCCGCCGCTGGCGCGGGTGGTGCGGCTGCTGGCTCTGCTGCCGCTCAACACATGCGGTTCGTCTCTCTGTCTTTCGTTCCCTCTCACCCTTTTTTTTTCTTTCTTTTTTTTTTTTTTTTGATACTGACATAGTTTTGTTGGGATGGATCGTAGTCGGAAATCGGTGATCCCTATCGACTCGTCCGTCCTTAAAGAATTGGCGGTCCATAAATCACTCGATGATACGGTCCCGCCGGTCGCTAATAACTCGACTAATGGGCCTCCACCGCCGCCTGGTAGTGGCTCTTCTTCTACGTGCTGATCTCCTCTTCTTCTTCCCTTTGGCTTCTCTTTTGTCTCTCTCTCTCTCTTTCTATGAACTGTTTCTCTCTATCTCTTTATCGATCTCTCTCTCTCTCTCTTTTTTCTCAGTTAGTTATTTATGGTGATTCGGCTTAAAAAAACAGATCAATCAATGGATGATCGGATCAGTGCATAAAACAATACAATGGCTCAAGCAATCAAGAAAACAAAAACAGAAAGCTAACTCTAACACTAAAATCAAATCAGTATACAACTTAATCTTGTCACTTTTTTGATTATTATCATTATTGCTTTTATTGTTTGTTTTTTCTGTTATTTCATTTCATTCTCTTCTGCTTTTGTTTTCATTGATCCTTTCTTTCTCTTGGTCATTTTCATTATCCTATTTTCACCTTTACTTTTACTTTCACTTCAACCACCAATTTCCAATTTTCATATTTTTCTTCTTCTCATTGATATATTGATATATATATATATAAATACATACACATATATATATTTATATTTATATAGATACACCTTTTGATCTTCTCATCATTGTTATCTTTTGTTTCCCTTTTTAAGTCTCTATGTGTGATTTGCTCCTCCTCTGGTTTCAATTTTAGGTTTTCTCTCTTTCTCTCTTTTTGTCTGAATTTCCATCTGTGATTGATTTCTATGAGATACACATGTGTGTGGTATGGTGATATTAAAAGGATCATCTTGGTTGATGTCTGCATGTGTGAGAGATGCAGAGAAAGGGTATATGTGGCTGAAGAGAAAGGGGATGGTGGTTGGGCATCGGTCAGTGTTGTGGATCAGGGTGGATGAAGTAGCTTTTCTAAAGCTGATTTCCTGACCTTATTACTTACTGAGCAGAACTCAAGATCTCACTTTTGTTTCATTGCCAACCGCATTGTCCTAATTATCACAAAACATGGATGGATTCAATTTCATTTTCAATTCAGTAAATCCTACATAACCTGTCCTAACAATCTTTGATGTAAGTCTAATTCAATGAGCCAAGGCCCCACACAAACCATCAAAGTTGAAGTTAGGTGAACTCTGCACGTGTACTGTAGACCATTTCAAGAGATCCATTAACAATGACAGGGAAAATAAGCATAGCCCCTGGAGAGAACGGGGTGATCTACTAGAACTTGGGACAAATGAGCTTGCTCAACGCGACAATTGGATTCTATTCTCTCAGCACACAAGGTCATACTATGTCAGAAAAAGATGAGAAGACTGCAATGTACAATTTGTAAGAATGGAGATCAAGGAGAGAGTGATGAATTGACAAGGAAAAGGGAAAAAAAGGAAAGTGTGGATACTATTTCAAATAAGTGTTCCAAAAAAGAAAAATATAATGTTGGGATGGATTCTGGGGAGAGGGAGAAAGACTTGATCCAACATCAAGTAGTCTTTATATCCAAGCTGGACATCCATTTCCATGCGAACTCTGTAATCGAGCATTGTAATCATATACATGAACGTAGTTTTTATTTGTGGTTATTCTGAGTTACAAGTTCTTCTTACTCCACTCAGTTATTCTTTCAAACAATCCTGTCAAATCATGTTTCTGAGTTATCATTACACTAACTAGTTGCATTAAAACTGTGACACTCCACATCATTATTTATGTGCGTTTTCTTCTGATTAATAATCCCAATATGACAATGTATTTGAACACTAGTTTGGAGCCCTTTTGGACAGACTAGAGTGTCTCTTATAACGTTGACAGGAGGGGGGGTGGGGGTATTGTGGTGTGGTTTAAGTAGTCAAGAGTGTTGGAGCTGATTATGTAGGCTTAACAGATTGTGTGAACCCTATGTATGGCAAGGTTTCAAAGAAACTTAAAAGCCACAGTCCATGTCATTTTCTTTGTGAATGAAGCAATGAGAAGTCTGGGTTCAGGTTGTGGAATCATGGGCAAATTAAGCTCATCCCCAAAGCTTGCTCCACACAGCCTACACCTTAGTGATCCACTCAGTCAGGTTTGGGTAGGTGGCTCACTGCAAAGCCTTGGGTTGCTGGGTAGGAGCTGGGAAGGGAGAAGCATTCAAGGGGGGGGGGGGATACTGTAGGGCAGAAAGTATTCTCAGATTTGTTTATATCCCTATCAAAACAAAAAATCAAAAAGCAAAAAGATTGAGAATGGTTCAAGCTTTATGGAAAAGACAATAAATTTCAACATGGATTGTCTAATATGTAAAGTAGACTGGGAGAGGTCTCACAACAGGAAGTCTTCCCCAGCTAGTTGTTTCTCCTGAACATTCTTTGAAACCAATCTAGAACTCCTCTGACCATTGGAGGACTCCCTGTTGCCATATAGAGTGCTTTTTAAGCCCTCCTCAGTCCTAAAGTAACACCTCAATCATAATTCCAACCAGCTCACATGAATTGAGAGCTATCTCTACAAGGCTTGTGAAAACAACAACTTATTACACCAAAAATTAAATTCTGGGAGGGCTGTAACCCGCGACAGGAAGTGGTCCATTTGATAAGTTGGATGGCATGATGTTTGCACAGCAAATATATTTCTAGGAGGAATCAGTGGACTGGTTGTAAGAGTTCAATCTCTTCACTGATCTTACGGCAACGGGCAAAGGATTCAAGGCTAAAAGCCGGACGTTCTAGAACCAAAGGCAATTTTTATTTCAACTAGACGGGAGAGCAGGAAACTCTCCTAATCAGTATCTACAATCATTGGAGAGAAAGGGAACCAAGTAGAAGATAAATGAAAAGGAAAAAAGGACATTACCTAGACGGGAGAGCAGGAAACTCTGCCGTCTAGATTGTGAGGGATGAAAGGGACTAAGTACCCTCACACGCTTATGTAATCTTAAGTGTTTACAGATCTTGTGAAACCCGCAATGAGAGGGGGTTTCACACTGGTCTGGCATTGCGACATTTCTGATGGGTTTGGTAGACAGTAGACTTGATGCACACATGGGATGGAGCTCGCGAAATTTCGCTGCCGGGGCCCGCGCCGCAATGGTTCGGGCGGGCCGGGCAGATGACAGCCGTCAGCCGTGACAGCCCTGACTGAACTTGTGTTTCATCCCGTTCGGCCGAGACAGGATTCCACAAGCACCAAGTTTATCGAGCATTCTCTCGCCTGTGGAGGTTCAAGTGAGGGCGATCAGAAATGGCCTCAGTCCTCAAGATTCCGACCAAGTTCCGGCTTCAAGCGCTAGCCAAAGCTCAATCGACGGTCTTCCAAACACCTTACAACCCTCGTAATCTCCGGACGGGCGATCGATATCTGACCAAGAAACTCAAAGGGCCACTCCTACAAACCTATTACCCACCTATCAGACCGGTTAACTTCAAACAACTCAATCACATCTTTGTACAAACCGCTAAGGCCAATGGAGTCACCGGAAGGGATTTGGAATATTGGAAACTTCCCGACCTCAGGGAGGAAAAACGGCACGTTACAACTCATTCTTGTATTCTTTCCTCGATCATCCCTGTCTTGAAAAGCCATTCCAAGTGATGATCATGTCTAACTTATCCAAAATTTATCGATTTATTTTTAAAACTCTATCGTTATTGCTTTTAGGTTAGAACGAGTTGCTTATAACCGTAAACGTGGAAAAGGACCTCCGAAGAAGGGTGAAGGGTAAGTCACATTTCAAACCTTGCCAAGTATAGATCTTTGAATGACTAAATCGTACTCTCTGAAAACTTCTTCAAAACCCCAATCTCAAATGCGACCTCTAGCCGACGAAGTCAACTCAAGAAACGACGTTAGACAGTGGAAGTCCGATGTCAGCTTTAATTCACACCAGTCCTTGAGTCTCTTCCAGTCGCATACAAACCCTTGATAACCTGTATTGAATGGGACATCTTGTAACAACAATAATAGACTACAACCGGCCCTCACAGGTCATGAAATTTAAGATGTCGATACGATATGACATCCGCTAAAAGTGAGGCAAAGGTCAAGGCTAGTGACCCGATGACCAGGCAATCCGGATTAAACTCCTAAAATTATTCAGAAACCACTCCGCTTGGATTAAGACCGGAGGGCATATCCGGTCCTTCCCCGGTGCCGAGGGGTAACTGGTGTGAACGGGGGTCGCGCTTCGGTTTCATCCGATGGCGTGTCACATGTGGCATGAGTGTGTGACATGTTGGCAGTATCGATCACAGGTGGATGTGTGTGTACCCTAAACCAGATTGACTGCGGCGCAGAGTTATGCATATGAACGACTGCGCGGCCATCCGCAGCAACTCAACCCACCTCCCAGTTGAGGAAAATTTGTTCAGCCACATCAACTTCCCACTGCCCACATACTCAGCCTCATTCTGGAAAGTCATTCGACGACGGTCTAGCCCACAAAAATACCCGCAGAAGAAGGAAATAATCACGTTCGTCGGAAATTAGGACAGAAGACTCAATGGCCGGAGTTACCGAAGCCCAAGGTGTCGTTGCTTTGGGTCAAGCCGCAAGCGATTTCTCAATCAAACCAGCCAGTGCAACTCCCAGACTCGACACCTCTCAGTGGCCGCTCCTTCTCAAAAATTATGACAAGTTGCTCATCCGATCCAGTCATTTTACACCCATTCCCTGCGGCAGTAGTCCGTTGAAACGACCTCTATCGGAATATATCAAGTAAATAGAGATCACACACATCTATTCTCAGCTGTTTAAAGGCGCAAACATGAAACTGATCTCTCGATATTTCTTTTGCTGCCAATTAGAACCGGTGTTATCAATCTGGACAAGCCTTCAAACCCATCCTCACATGAGGTAGTCGCTTGGATTAGAAGAATACTTCGTTCGGAGAAAACTGGTCATTCTGGTACATTAGATCCCAAAGTCACAGGATGTCTATTAGTGTGCATAGATCGGGCCACAAGACTAGTCAAATCTCAACAGGGTGCCGGAAAAGAATATGTTTGTGTCTTAAGGTTGCACGCCGGATTAGAGACAGAAAAAGCTCTCAGCCGTGGCTTGGAAACTCTGACCGGCGCCCTATTCCAACGTCCACCCTTAATCTCGGCCGTCAAACGTCAACTGAGAATTCGAACGATCTATGAAACCAAGCTGATCGAATTTGACAATAAACGACACTTGGCGATTTTCTGGGTCAGTTGCGAGGCCGGAACCTATATCCGTACCCTTTGCGTCCATCTCGGACTGCTTCTTGGAGTCGGCGGCCACATGCAAGAACTTCGACGAGTCCGGAGTGGAGCCATGGGTGAGAATGATGGGATTGTTACGATGCACGACGTTTTGGATGCTCAATGGACTTACGACAACACGCGTGATGGTGAGTTGCTCAGTTGCTCGTTTTCTCATCTGAGGCAAACAGAACACCAATTGCGGGACTCTATTGAACTTGTGTGTTTGTTTTAGAATCGTACCTCCGACGTGTCATCCGTCCGCTCGAGTCCCTGTTGATCGGTTATAAACGAGTCGTGGTCAAAGATACCGCTGTCAACGCCGTCTGCTATGGCGCCAAGCTAATGATACCCGGTCTACTCCGTTACGAAGCCGACATTCAACTCAACGAGGAAGTCGTCTTGATGACTACCAAAGGAGAGGCGATAGCCATTGGTATTGCTCAAATGACCACGGTCGAATTAGCTACTTGTGATCACGTGCGTAATTCTGCTTCGTCTGTTGCGTCCCCGTGCTCCTCCCTCCCCTGAATTTGACCATTTGCCGTATCTTAAGGCTTACAAACCTGTGTGCTGCAATTCCAGGGAGTCGTCGCTAAAGTGAAGAGATGCATCATGGAGAGAGATACTTACCCACGCAGATGGGGATTAGGCCCTAAAGCTCAAGAAAAGAAGAAGGTAATGCTCTTTTATCATAAGCAAATCCGCTCACAGATTGCAACTGACTCGTAGGACTTTTTTTCTTTCTCCACCAGATGGTCAAGACCGGCTCTCTGGACAAGTACGGTCGCGCAAACGAGAAAACTCCGGCCAATTGGAAGGAGGGATACGTTGATTATTCCGCTTCCACGACCAATCCCCCAACGGAAACCATCAATGTAAGGCGATTGGAACATCATGCTTTCATACCTCTTCTTCTTGACAAAATCCTCAAAGCTTATCGCCATCACAAATTCTCTTTTGGCTAGACCCAACCCACCGAAGCCGCTCCGGCAACGAAACCGAAACAAAAAAGGAAAGCAGAAGAGGTCATCGAACCATCAGAGGCTGGTGATGTCTCGATGGCCACTTCTGTGGCCGATGGGACCAAGGAAACTGAAGAGGAAAGGAAAAAGCGAAAGGCTGAGAAGAAGAAAGCAAAAAAGGCTAAGGAAACTGCCGAGGAAGGTAACACTACTATCACCTCTCAACCTGAGGAGGCTGAAGCAAATACCGAGCAGGCCGAACGTCCCAAGAAGAAAAAGAAAAAAGAGAAAAAAGTTGACTGATTCGATACCACATTCCCTTAAAAAGAGATCGACTACATCTATACCTAATGGTTCACCTTCCCTGCCCCACACGCTCTCTGCCTCTAGCTTTTTTCCCAAATGATTTCCAATGTTTCATGACACCTCAGTTTCCCAATACTCATGCATTGTTTTCCAGGTGATTTACGTACTTTTTTCCCCTTCTTTTTTCCTTCCCTTTTTTCTGTTGGCTGCTTGGGTCTGTTGTCTTCTTCTCTTTTTTTTTCTGCCCCCCTCCCCCCGATTTGAGCCCGTCTATGAAAATAAAATGTTCTCTATTTCTTTCTGGATTGGTGTCTCACTAAGCCGTCTGGTTATTTGAGCCAATCATGTCCATGAGACAACGCCCTCAGCAACAGGTGAAACCTTGAGTCAGATGCTGTCAAACTTTGCAGGGAAACATTAACTGCATACTTGATGCATTCCTGGATGGCTGGTTTTTATTTGCGCTCTTGATCTCACTTCCCTGGATCTCAGCCCCTGATGCCCCCCGTGTTCTTAGCCCTGATTTTCCGAATGAAAGAGGCCCAGGGAAGGAAATCAGCTCTGGTCGAACTTGACACAAGTCTCCAGCTGCGGCGGGCGCATCTGGCAGCGTAGCGCTGGCCAGGCGGTTCCCGAAGGGAACTCCCCGCAGGGGAGACTTGGGCCAGAGGTCAATGAACTCAGGTGCTGAGTTTCTAGTGTTTTGGTGGGAGCGTCACAAGATTTAGAATCACGACGCTCCCTCAAGACTTTGAGAATGTTTGAGAAAATTTTCTTGAAGTGCTGGATGATCTTGTCAATCTATCCAAATTTCAAAACCAGGACAGCCCCTTGTAATTTTATGATGATTTTTTAAAATCATGGTTTGAACTTTTTTTAAGCTCAAACGCGGGGTTCGCTCAACTCGAACACACCAAAAGATGTCAACTTGAATAGAAAAGTTGTCCTTTTCAACAGCTTCTGCAAAAAAATGACAATATAACAGAAAAAAGTGAGCAGTGAGAAGTATATGGAAGAGGCAGGCCCTCCCAGGCCCAGAAGGAAATCTGATAAGTATGAATGAGGAAGGGCCTAGATGGGAAAGTACACAAAAATCCTGGTTTTTAGCCCAAATCCAAAATCTCAGCACGCAGGGATTGTTGCATTTGTCATAGGCCTCCACTGGCGTGGACAGCTCCGCTGCTCGCTAACGCTCCCGCCGTGGAGACCTAGTTAAGCTCGAGCTCTGGTCATCTTTATCATCAAATAATCTTCCGGACTTTAGCCCTCTTATGACCGAATGGACAGAATTCACACAGTTGTCCAGATTCTCCTTCTGTTTCCTCCATTCTTGGTCATCATACAAGTCAAGCTGAAAGGCTTTTCAGGGACCCAGTAGCCAAAAGGAATATGCTCTTTTCCTCTCCTTTTTTTCTTCATTTCTCCCAATCCAATGGATTTTACTGAAAGTGTGAATTTATAGTAAGTATTGAAAAGATGATGATGATGGTCAAAAAGCGGAGGCCAGAGCTTGAATGTTATTACTGGAGGCTTATGTCAGCTATGGGTTGAAATGTTACTTTCTGATTCTTCAAGTACATATTTCAATTTTGGAAAAGTATTTTCCTTGTCCAAATTTTGCCACAAGCAAAATACTTTTCCAAAATTGAAATATGTACTTGAAGAATCAGAAAGTAATATTTCAACCCTTATAAGAAGCAGGAAATTTTCCCTTATCAAGGGAGAAGAGTCACATTTGGAAGTTCTGAAATTTCTGTATCCTCACATCCAATTTGATCAAGATCAACCACTGAATTCTGATATTCATCACATCATTTCTGAAAAATTCTGGATGGAATTTTGTATCATGATTTTCAAAAGAACAAGAACAATTATTCCTGATTTGGAAATGTCCTGGAGTTGACAAACACCAAAAAATATAGATTCATTGTTAAACTTGACTGCCAGTACCTATCTGCTCAAAATGGTTGACTTTTTTTCAAGACTGGATTCATATATCAGGCACCATCTATGAAGAGGATTGGATGTTGAACCTACTGCTTTTCCATGCATTTTATTTGTTTCATGTTGACATGGAATGACCTGCTTCAGTGATGAAGAAAAAATCATATTTCAAAATTCACTGACCACTGGTACTGGCCATTGATCTTTGAAACTGCACAAGGTATTTTCAAATCTTCCTTTGAATCTAGAATTCCAAATGTTCTTATGGGAATCTGAATTGCATAATTTTTTTTTTCTTTGTTCCAAAATGACAGCTCCAAGAAAAGTTCAACAAAACATGATGATATGTCTCTTCACAATTGACACAATTAAGGATAGTTTACATCATTTCAATCCCATACCTGAATATAGTGTGCAGTTGATGGAAATCATAGATTCTATTTCACCCATTAAAGAATTCATAAATTGTAAAGAAGGTGGTGAAGAGAATAATTCAAGATCAATTCTTTTTGAAGGAGAAAATCAGAGCCAGGATCAATCAAGTGAGTCAAGAAAGTTGATAGATAAAATTGAAAGGCTCATTCTTTTACAAATCAGCATTTTGGACAGCCCAAAGAAAGATTCACATGACTGTGATTTTCTTGATCATACGTGCAAATTTTCACACTTTTTGCAAAGAGAAATGAGTCCAGGAATCATCCAGAAAATGTTGAGAAAAATCCAGAAGAATTCTGAAAGATTTGAAGATTACTTGAAGCTTCAAACACTCTGCAGCAAGTTCAATCAATGGTGGAGCATAGCTAGGGATTACTCTCTCAAGATTGAATTCATAATCAAGCCCCAAACTCATGAATTCATCAAGTTTGATCAATCAATTTATGAAGAATATACACAAAAAATCATGGTAATTTGGGATGATTTCAGAAAAAAATAAAAGATTATTAATGACAAACCAGATGGTGTGTTGGAAGATTTTGTTAGTATTCATGTGTTTCAGCTCTCTCTTTTTCTTTCTCATTATTAGCATATATCATGGCATACTCTTTAGTCATTATTAGAATATGTTTATACTCAGTTTGTCACAGATTTAGCTTGTTTTCTTTCATTATTTAAAGCTTGAGTTTGTTCATCCAGAAATACAAACTTATCGAGTCTTTCCCTCTTTGACTCTTTCACTCATCCATTAACAGATTTACAGTCTCGCTTCTTCACTTGAAGCTATTTCTTTTCTCATTACGGTCCTCAGTTGACCTCCAACCCTTACTATTTATTATTATGGTTCTTTAGTTGACCTTCTCTTCTCACCTTCATGGTTGGTTAACACACTAGTTACACATATCATCGACATGACTTATAATACTCCATCCGATTCAACCTTTGGTTGTTCTTTACTTGGACTCATCGTCTTATTCATTAGTATCTAGATTTATGTACCAATATCAATGGGTTTTACTCCTTTAGAGATCACATTCTATTGCCGGTTTTACATCTTCATTATATAAGATTCTGGTTTCTCATACTTATTATCAATCGGAACACCCACCAATTAACTTCTTTGAGAAAACCTATCTTTTCCGGCTCCTTCTGTGTCATCTTCACTACCCTTCATCATTCCATCGACCTATCACCAATTGGAACATCCACCGATTACCTTCCTTGAAGTCTTTATAAATCATCAATCCACTTATCTTCCTTATCAGCAATCAGAGAACCCACCGGTTTATTCCTATTGAATCTTTCTTGCTTCTCAAGTCTACATGGAATTTGGCCGACTTCCTCGAATTCTCTTCTTCTCCATTCCAGTCAATCAACTCGATGTATCCATTTTCTATGGGTTGATGTCTTCATTTTCCAACTCGATCTTCTCATTATTGTTCTGTCAATCTTCTTATTGGCCTATTCAATCCATTCATTGCCGACTTTCCGGTTTGGTGTCTCTTCACAAATCGGTATTGGCTCCTAGTTGTTGGTGTTGTCTCCCAGTCGCTGGAATGGCTTTTGGATTGTCGCTTGGGTCTCATAACCAAATCATCGCCGCTGGACACCCTCTTCAGACAGCATAATCATGACCAACTTCATTCAATCATTCTTCTTGTTTTGATCTTTTCTAATCGATTGTGCTGATTGCTCTTTCTTCAAGAAATGAATTCCTTACATCTTCCATCAACAACACACCTTAAATCTGGTCGATTGCTGTCCTCAATTCTTTTTAACCACCTCACCTTCTAGTCTCAGCTATATCATCCTGTTGCCGACTCTCTACATCATATTCAACAAACTGGTATCACTTCAGGTTCCTCAACTCTGTTTCACCGCTATCTCTTATTGTCACTTTGTTATTGGCCTCCAAGTCGTCGGAGCGGCCTCCAAGTCGTCGGAATAGCCTCCTAGTCATTGGAATGGCCTCCAACTTGTCGGAATAGCCTCCTAGTCGTTGGAATCGCCTCCAACTCGTCGGAATATAGCCTCCTGGTCGTCGGAATGGCCTCCAAGTCATTGGAATAGCCTCCTAGTCGTCGGAATGGCCTCCAAGTCGTCGGAATGGCCTCCAAGTTGTTGGAATAGCATCCTAGTCGTTGGAATGGCCCTCTAGTCATCCTCTAGTCGTCGGAATGGTCTCAATGTCTTCGCAAGATAGCCCACCTCAGCCTTCTTTCTAATCGTGCATTTGTTGTCCTCTAAAACAGAGTGCGCTTCCCTGTCGCTGCCTCCATCTTGGTCGATAAAATCAACACGTCTCACATTTCTCTACGCATTCTTTTCAAGTCCTCCTCGTTCTATCCTCATCTCCCATCAAGACTACGCCAGATCGCAAGGACTATAGCACCATCCTTCTCTTTATACTAATCATCACCATTCATCCAGCTAATCTTCATCACCATTCATCCGGCCAATCTAAATCAACATTATCAGACTCATCTTCCGCAGCATGCTCAGAGCCTATTTCAACCTCATCCTTCTGAATGATGTTTACTTCCTCTGTTGAGCTTGTTTCTTATCATCTTTTTATATTCTCAAAGGCAGGAGATAAATTACATCTTCTCTAAATCTCACCTGAACAAATTTTAAAATGTATTTACAATGTGTTTATTAGAGTATATCTTCTGAAAAACAGTTCGCTAGGGGGGGTGTTAGTATTCATGTGTTTCAGCTCTCTCTTTTTCTTTCTCATTATTAGCATATATCATGGCATACTCTTTAGTCATTATTAGAATATGTTTATACTCAGTTTGTCACAGATTTAGCTTGTTTTCTTTCATTATTTAAAGCTTGAGTTTGTTCATCCAGAAATACAAACTTATCGAGTCTTTCCCTCTTTGACTCTTTCACTCATCCATTAACAGATTTATCATACTCACATGAGATTGAAAAACTCATCATCAATGGTGAATGGTTATTAGCACAAGTGAAGCAAAGAAAATTTTAACCAACTTTATGTATTGCTTTCTTGTCTTAGAACCTTATTACATATTTAGAGCCTGTCAACTTTCCTCTTTTCTCCCATCCTCTAAAATGTCTTCAAATCCACTTTGCTGTTGTCCACTGCACTCATTTGTTCTAGCATCTTGTTTTGTTCCTCAATCAAAAACTAAGATTATTTGCACTGAATGGTTTTATTGAAATTCACATTTTTTTTGCAATGTCTGATCAGGTCTCATCCTTTGGATAGGTTCCCTATTGTAGTGGTGATCATCATTGACTTGATCTATATATCCAACAATGATGGGAAGTTACATTGGCAATATCACTAACTTAACAATGATGAGATGGAATCAACACTGTTATTGCTGTGATAACTATTGGGCTGGGCCCTTTTCAAATCTCTTTTACTTCTATGGCAGGAGGACTTCCATACACCTCTTTTTGCTTAAATGTCTTGTCCCTTCGATTTCTTCCACCAGAAATCCCCTCCTATAGATCAATTAGGCAAAATGGGGAGATATCGGGTTATCGGTTACTTTGGTCATCACTGAAGAAATGATTAAGCCTAGCAATGGAAATTTGGTTTTACCAATAAGAGATGGTTCAAAGTATTGAAGCTTACAACTGTCATGACTCTGGTACACTTGTTTCAGTTTTCAAACTTGTCTAGTTTTCAGTCGCTCATTTCGTTTGCTGTATGTTCAAGTTCTACTTTGTTCTGTCTGTCCATTAGATTGCCGAACCAACCAATCCCCACTGCCATCGGTCCTACATTGGCTTTTTTTGCCATTGGCCTCTGCACTACTAAGACGGCTCTACAGACCAACTCGGCAAGCAGTTTAAATGAACTCTCCTTGGACTCCAGACAAGTCTTCGCACGATTTACTGCTGCCATTTGCGAGTTTCCTGGTCTAAATTAACATGCTCATCTCTGCTATTCACATTCAATTCCTGCTTGTTGGCTTGTTGACTGTCTCGGTCACCCCTTCTAGTATTTGGGAAATCGGACATCCAATCGAAGCTGATGGATGTGAAACAAGTGGGGGTCCACTGCATGGCCTGGGTAAGTTTTCTTTTGCGTACAAGAAACAAATTCTGAAAGTCTAAGTTTGTTGCATCTGACCTGCTTGTGGGCTGTCATCACCCATCTCAACATTTCCCAAAAAACACCATGCACATGATGAATCATGATCATATGCAGAAAATGGTGAATCACAGTAAGTATCATTTTTTTTTTTTCAAGAGCAGGTGTTGTTGAGAGCTTACTGTCTTCTCGGTGCTGCTGCTACCAGTGTACCTCAACAACATGGAGAGTACACCAACTCAGTTTTTGAACTCCCCAGAAAATTGCAAGTTCCCAAACTTGAATTAATCCACTCCAATATGGATTAGGATCCCTGATCCAGTACTTTGTTCATGATTTGAAATGTTTTTATCCCCTTTCCACAGTATTTATGCATGCATTTCCTTTCTACCCATCTTTTTTGGGGATGAGCAACAAAGTAGAAGCATCTCCATGGATCCAGAAGTTAAACTAAGTAAGTTGTTTTCATAGTTATACCAATCCAATCCATTGGGAACTGAAGATGTAAATATATGGCAGAATTCAGAGAACAGATGAAACATTTTCAGAAACATAGGGAAGAACTCATGAAGTTTGACTTGAAGCTCAGACAAGAACTTGATAAGCCCTTAGACATTTTCAACAAGGAAAATACATCTGATCAAATCAAAATACTGGAAGAGTCAAGACAAGACATCTTGGCTCTTGGAAAACAGAGGATACATCAGCTTATCAAGGGAGACCCTGCCAATCTAAGAGTCCTGAGATTCCTCTGCCCAAACACCAAATTTTATTCATATGAACCACTGATTCCTGAAGTTTATCGGTTGATTAATGAGAGATTCTTGGAGGAATTTTGCAAGACAATTATAAAAAGAGTCGTGAAAATAATTCCTGATTCATACTTTGAAGGATACTTGAGATCAGAAACACAAAACAATTCACGATCACTAAGAGCCATTGCTGCCTGCAAATACATTCTCAAATTCATTGACTTTTTGTTCAAGACTGAATTCATCAATCAGGAAGTTCTCAATACGGTTTATCAAGATGAGAGGATGGTCCAGCTCCTACTCCTATACAGTTCTGTACAGTTCAAAAATCAAATGGACTGGATGATTTTGGATAAACCAGCTTATTTCACTGACCATTGGTACTTTCCAATGATATTTGACAACATTCAAGGTATGTTCAAGTTATCTTTTTCAGTTTGAGTATTTCTGCTGATCCACATACTCTCATCTCTTGATTGTATTAATTGCTTTTTCTTTTCTTTTCTTTTTTTTTTTGGACTACAAAAAAACAGCTCCAAGCAAGTTACAGCAAAACATGATGATTGCTACATCAATAATTGAATCAATCAAGACTGACCTCAAGAAATTTGGGGTTCTTTCAGCATACAAAGGAGAATTGAGAGAAATTTTGGGTTCAATATCACCTCCAAGAGACATGAAGGATTCTTCAAACCATGATGAATCAGCTCACTCAAGATCAATCATTATTGAAAGAATCCCAGACAATAAACCAGAATACAGTGAATCAGAAAATCTCAAAGATATGGTTGAAAGGCTCATTCTTTTACAGATTAGTATTTTGGAGAAAAGACTCAGCTCCCATGAACATACTGTTGTAAACAAGATAAGCGAATTCTTATATCTAGTACAAAGGGAAATGTTTCCAGGGATCATGGAAGAAAAGCTGTCCCAAATCCAGCAAGATTCTGAACGATTTGGAGACTACTTTGAGCTTCAAATCCACTCTTACGAGTTCAAGAAATGGTGGTACATAGCCAGAGATTACAGCTGCAAGCTCGCCAGAACATGGGGCCTGAACAACTCTGATCCCAGCAAGTTTGATCCCAAAGTGTATGAAGAATATGGGAGAAAACTGGCGGGTATTTGGGACGATTTCCGAAAGAGATACCAGTCAGTGTTTGAAAAGCCAGCCAATATTTTGAGACAATTTCAAGATGCTGATCATGATATAGAAGAACTTATCAGTAATGGTGAAATGTATTTGATAAACATGAAAGAAAGAATCTTTTGATCAACACAAAAAAAAAACATTTCAACATTTTTTGAACAAAATCCTATACCTTATTTCATAAGAATTGAGTGGACTATAAGTTTTTGTTTTGTTATTTGAATGTGCATATAAATCGTTTAATTGTACAACACAATTTTCAATTCAAACAGGGCTTGTCAATGAGAATACTATGAGTGCTGGTGGGTGGTATCACTCCAGGGTGACAATTGTGACATAATTATTGCAGCCTCAGTGGCTCCGTTATCCATTTTTTTTTTGTTGGATGGTTTGGGGATATTAGCACACACTGAAAAACATACTTTTATTTTGTTCCCTCAATGGCCAATAGTGTGTGTACCCTATATCAGATTTGCAGTTCAACTTGAGCTGAAATCATAAAGGAAGGATCTGTTCAAATAACTATAACTTATGGTGTTCAAAGTGAAATATGCATGCACATATATTAGCCCGGTTCACAATAGCCAGTCATCAGCAAAAACTTTAGCTGTAATCAGCAAATCATTGCTACTTAAAAACACCTCCATTTTTGAATGTGTAGTCCAGAGTCCCCCAGATTATTCCAGATCCATCCAAAAAATATTTTTCTATCAGCAACTGTTAACAAGGTGATCAGCCATTGGAACTGGCTAATGTGAACTGGGCTATTTCAGAAATAATCAAATCTTGTTTGGTTGGAAACTTTCAGATCACATACTCAGCACTGCACAAATAATTTCAGGGAGTCCATAATTAACCAAGCCCCTTGTAAGATGCACGGAGGCAAATGGGATCTGGTCGGTACAGTCCCGTCGCGGTCAGCTATCGGCGCGCAGGTCCCGGTCTCTAATCTCGGTATGGATTGCATCAGAATAAGAGAAAAAAACTACTAACCTGGTCGGTACAGTCCCGTCGCGGTCAGCTATCGGCGCGCAGGTCCCGGTCTCTAATCTCGGTGAGGAAAGAGAAAAGAGGCCGGTACCGGGACTGTCCAGGTAATAAACTATGTACAAGAATAAACTAGGTTAGGGTTGTGACTATCACTAACTAGTTTCATCTTGTCTAAATACATAGTTTGTTGTCTAAAAACATAGCAGTAATCTTGTATCTTCTGCAATCTTCTGTCACTACTCTAACACCCCTTTATGAGATATGCATCCCTATTTATGATTGAACACCATAACTGTTGGGCTCTCTCGTGCACGAAAACACCCCAAAAGGCTTTGAAAGGGTGCACTTCCTGTCACATCTACTGTTACTACATCCCTTGTAGATCCCGATTTAGACCTACATAAATTGGAAGATGGCTTTACAGGCGGTCATTCTGGCTTATGTAAAGCACTGAGATTCTTGAATACCTGATTAGATTTAATAGAATGTGAGATGAACGAACGAAATTTAGGTTGAAAAAACAGCTCATAAAATAATCGGATTAAAAGTGATTATTGGAATGATTTTGACACACATAAATTGTACAATATCTTCAACAAAAAGAAAAAAAAAGAAGAAGAAGAAGAAGAAACAAGTGTACCAACTGATCTAAGTTGTATGTGAATTATATACCAGCCATTCAGACACACACATTTAAATATGTAACTCTATAAGAAAAACTCTATATGAGGGAAGATGATGGGCCGAGGGAAGCGAGAGTCGAAGACGGTGTTTATAATAACAAGATGAGAGACGGTGCAGTAACGATCGAGAAAAGGATGTTACGGGAAGATCCAAAGGTATGTCGCGGAAGAGAGAAGGTTTCCGCATGATGGAGTGTCGGATGAGAAGATTTATGGAGATGGATTGTGGGGAAATCGGCTCAAAGACCGGCGGCCTTTCGCTTGGCATTCGAAAACCCACCCCCGGGGTGATCGCCATCCGAGTTGAGTAGCCCATTCAGATACATGAGCGACTTCTTCAGACCGGCATAAAAATCCATACTGATCTCAAAAACCCTTAAAAGATTATAACATTCTTTCGACAGAATTGGGGAATGATTAGAAAGTTAGATCCTTGAGATAAAAGACAAAAAAAAAAGAAGAGAAGAGAAACGAAGATTTACTTTGATATTCCCACCAAGAATGAACGAACCGAGCGAATAATTGAAGGGACGAGCGGAACCGGAAGTGGGTTCTGAGCCGGGAGAGCTCGAGTTTAAGTCGACGACACTCGTCGATCCAGATGGCTAGCCCGCAAAACCTAGCGACGATCAACCAGATCCGAATTTGAGAATGGGTAGTCCTGAGAGAGAGGTCTAATGACCGGGTAAGATCGTTGACCTATTCAGACAGAACCAACTTATTAAACCTACTCAAGAAAACAAGAAGAAGAATGTTTGATGTAGATACCTTTAAAATCATCAGGAGTCGTCTGGGCACATTTCTCAAGATCTTCAAGATCTCAGCAAAGATGCCTTCTTGGGAGACGATAGCCGACTGGATAAGCTTAAGTTCCTCGGACGATTTGGAGGACAAGTTGAGGAGGCTACCGGAGCCTTTGAGGCCGACCCGACCGGTGATCGCGCTCTCGAAGATATCGTAGTTCTTCTCGTCGATGTTCCCGACCAGCTTGGCATACTTCTTCCGCGCCGCTACCGAGCTCGAGCTCGAGCTCAACAAACTTAGCCAGAACCGTGCATAGTTCACCCGCAAGGAATCCGTCAGATCGAAGTATAAGCCGTGGTCTAGTAATACGATCTCGAAGTTGTGCGGGCTCCTGGACGTGCTTGGGGCCGGTCGGATCAGCAGATTTCCTGCATGCTATAAATCAAAGCCCCAGATTCAGTTTGTCTTTTATCCCCTTGCGGGCATCGGACTTAGGGCAAGGGCTTAACTGGATCAGCATGGAAATATCCGTTCAGATAAATCATCTGTGAGAAGATCCTCGTGAGTTCTTGTGAGGCCCGATTCCGATCGATATTATGTTGGGCCAGATATTCGAGATCATCAAACCGACCACCAGTGATGACTACATCGATCAAAAAAAAGCAAAAGAGAGACAGTATAGCTCATGGTGAGATTGGACTTTGGATCGAAAGAATGTTGACTGAGAAGAGAAAGATAAGATTCGGACATCTAACATTCCATCACAAGTACTCGCTTTTGAGCCCATAAGACATCCGGTAATTTCAATGTCGTCGACTTGAGGTCCGAGAATTGTTGGGCACATTTTGATGCATTTGCAGCCTCGATCCTGAAATCCATCTCTTTGGGTAAATTCTCTTGCATTTCCTAACAAAAAAAAAGGGAATTAGTGGGTTTAAATCTGGGGCAAAGACCTAGGAGGTACTTACTTCACCCAACCATGTGAACTCAAACTCCGGGAAGACCCATTTGACGAATCGGAGCATGATGACGACTGTTCGAGTATCCACTTCGAGGTATTCTTCCAGGGTAGGATGCATGACTTTGACGGCGACGTCTCTACCGGATATCCTATCAACTGCGCGATGTACCTGAGCGAGAGAAGCGACGCCGATGGGGACGGGGTCGAAGGAGAGGAAGAGTTCGCGGATAGGCAGGCCGACGTCGAGGAGGAAGAGTTTATCGATCATCTCGAACGAGCTGGGAGTGCATTGGTCTTGGAGCGGCTTCATCGTCGAGCTCCAGGCGGGCGGGATGAGTTGGATGGAGCTGAGATGTTGGCCGAGCTTGACGTAGATCCCGCCGTTCTGTTTGAGCACGTTCAGGATTCGCCGGGCTGCCGTCAGATGGGTGGTCTGATAGTCCAGATGGCGTTGCGCCTGGCCCGCCGGATCATCCGCCCATACCTTCGCAAACAACGTCTTGTAGTCCCACATCGCTCCCACGACGGCTATCACCACTCGGGTGGAACGGACGATCCCAATGGCAGCATAGCGGAACGGGGGCACGAACTCGTATAAGGCCGTGCCAATGACCAAGCTGATCGTGAGGCCCAAGACCACTTTCTGCGATATCGTCCAGCCTAGTCTTGTTGTAGGGTTATGAAGTCTGTCTGTAGTTCTGGGAGCGTGTTGGCGAAGAAGCGAGGCTGTGAAGAGAGAACGAGTGGAGTGTTTGAGAGTGTTCTGGAAGCCGCCGATTGGCTTGATGAGCTGAGCCGGGGTGAGTAGTACCAGTCCTGGAGGAGGCCGGAGAGTGCTGATTGATCGGAGGGATACAGGCTCGGGAATCAGTGGATGATGAGTTGGGCGTCGGAATGGAAGTGTAGCGAATGGCCGGGTGAGGAGTATATGGCTTGCCGAGCTCAGCAGTCGATCGATGGCCATCGCCCAGGCCAGATACTCTTTCTTCTCTTTTGTTTTTTTTTGGGGGGGCTTCAGGGAGTGGTTTGTAGTTGGTTCAGGTTGTCCATTGCTGCTGTTGTGGTTGTCGTTGGTTTTCTGGTTTTCCTCTGTTTGTGTTTACACCATCCCATGCAGACCTCAGCACCGGCGCGGCAACGTCATCCAATTCCAATGGTATTAGTATTACCCTGGCACACTGCAAAGACCCCCAAGGAGGATTCGACAATACATACTCTTTTAAAGCACAGTGTGAAGAACTGATACAACGATCACAACGATGAGCACAGGTACGCTCCGGGTATCGGACTCCAAATCTCGGTGAAGAGAGAGAGAGGAGCCGGTACCCGGCGCACATGACAACTAGACTAAATACATTGGTTCCGCCGCAGCAGTTAGACTAGGTTTAGAGTGATGATGAATAAGATTGAACACATGTAAATCTACGCTAAACATAGTTTGTGATCTTGTCACTCCGCGCTAACTCTAACACCCCCTCCCAAGATCGCAAACTTTTACCACTTCAGGCCTAATTTGATTATGGCGTCCTCGATCTTGTTGGGCCCTAATTTCTTGGTGAAAATGTCGGCTTGTTGGTTGAGAGTGCTGGTCCATGTAATTTTGATCTTGTTTTCCCTGACAAAGTCGTTGATGAAATAAAATGCTCGAGTTAAATACCTGGTCTTCTTCTTTGACGCGTTGTCACCCGCTATGAGAATTGCCGTCTCATTGTCGCAGAAAATGTTCATTTTCACGTTGTGGCCGATGTCTTCAAGGATCATAGCGATGCCCGCAAGGTGTTGGGCACCATCCGATAGCGCAATGTACTCGGCCGCGCATGTTGATAGAGCTACCACGGTCTGTCTCTTTGCTCCCCAGGCAATTGAATCTCCAAGGTGTTTGATCACACATCCGGATGTCGACCTTTCGTGCTCGCCTCCCCAGTTCGCGTCGGACCACAGGTCCAGGCTATCTGTCGAACCTTTGAACACCAGTTTGGTTGCTTGAGAACGTTTGAGATATCCAATCAAGAAATCTAGTGCCTTCCAGTGGGACTCTGACGGATTGTTGCTGTATCGAGCTAGGAGATTTACTGCATATGAGATGTCTGGGCGGGTTCCACCAGCCAAGTACATTAAAGAACCCACGATGGATCTGTACTTAGTCTGGTCTACCGGCTCGGACGCGTTGACTTCCAGGGACGTATCAGGAAGGGGTGAGCGGTGGGTAAATATGGGGCGGTCATAGTCGCGTACTATTTGACCGGCCAGGCGTTCTTGGTCCATGATCACCTCGCCATCCTTGTTGACAATGTTGAGGCCTACGAGTCTCTTGACACCATTAGACCACTTGATATTCATTTCCTTCTGCATGTCGATTCGGAGATTGTCTAACAGAGATTGGTTAGAAGCTACTGCCAGTCCGTCGTCGACATGTAGCCAAATTATGACGAAGTCTAGCCCTTTTCGATATATGTAGAAAGACTGTTCAAGTTCCGACGCTACAAACCCCACGGCTTCCATTTTCCTCTTAAAGAACTGCCACCAACACCTTGCGGCTTGCTTCGTGCCGTACATCGCCTTCTTCAGGCGCATAATCTTGCCCTTCAATTCCGGCATGATCTCGACCGGGGGTTGTACATAAACCTCTTCCTCGATCGGGCTGTACAAGTAGGCCGAGCTGACGTCGAACGTGGCCGTGGCGTATCCGTTGTGGAAAGCACGGCGCGCCCTAGGAGTTTTCTTGCACTTCTCCGCTCCGCAACGCGTCCTACTCCGGTTTTGTTGTCCGGGGTAACTTGCTTGATGGTCTTGTAGGTAGGTAAACTAGTTCTCTTTTATTGATCTTTTGTAGGTAATACACTAACTCTACTCTATCTCTAACAATTCTTTAGGCTAATACACGATTCACTCCTAAGTCACTCTGTTTTTCTGATATGTTCTGAGTCCCCCCTCTCTCTCCTCTTCTGCCTCGAACTCCTCTCCTCCTAGGTATCCCACACTCCAGTCCCTTCCTACTTCCCGCGATGTCATCCGCTGTCACCCCCTCGGACTCCGCATGTCACCCCTCCGACGCCTGTCGGTCCAAGTACTCCTCCGGCCGCTCCTAAGCAGGTCTCCCACCGCCGCTTCTGCCTCTGGTCCGCTCCGAACCCCGCTTCTGCCCCTCGGTGCTCCCCGCTCTTTGTAGCCTCTCCGCAGTATACACTGAACCCCCGTTCCGCAGTCGGCCGTGATCCCCGGCGTCCGCCGATGCCCGAATTCCCCGCAGTAAGCTTTTCAGAACCTTGTGCATTCGGTCTACCTTTCTCCGCTTTCCCGCGCCTCGGAAAGCTAGACTTTCCACTAATGCACGGCCGCTTTCCTCAGCCCGCTTGTGTAGCGTCAACTCCGCGTGCTTTCCGCATCAGCGCCGCGAGCATTCCGCATGCCCCAAACAAACCGGCCAAAGCTTTGGCCAAGGCGCGCTCCCGCCACCACACCGTGCTTGTTCGCCAAGGATAAAAGGAGACGAAGGGTATTGAGAGACGCCGTCGGGGCATATGTCTCATTGCAATCGATTCCAATCTGTTGATTAAAACCTTTCGCCACATATCTTGCTCTGTAGATCTTGGGGTCACCGTCCTTGTCCGGTGGTTTTATTGTGAATACCCACCGGCACCCCAGGGCCTTCGCACCTGGGAACGGTTGGACAGCTTCCCACACACCCAACGACTCGAACTTCTCCACCTCATACTCTGCCGCTCCTCTCCATTCCAACGCCTTCTTGCTCTTCAACGCCATCTTGATCGTCGCCGGGATTCTCCTGTCCTCCGTGAGTACCAGCTCCGAGATCGCCTTTTGTTCCTTTTCGTGGCAGACATTGGTTTCTTCCTCACCCAGTTTCAGGATGATTTGATTGAGGACCAAGTCGAGGCATGTTGCGCTTTCTTGGGCCAGTTCGTCGGACGACTTTGCTTCGCCGGGGTCTTGTACGTTTTGTGGCTGCAGATCTGGTGTTGGTGTCATCTTTTTGACTGGGAGATTTTGGAATTCGGGGAACATCACGGCAGTCGAATGGATCAGTCTTCCTTTCGAGGTCGACCAGAACAGCCACCCTCCACCAGCTGATGGGTATCCAACCAGCTGGGCTTCAGTCGCTCTTTCGTCCAATTTGTCGCGATTTTCCTTAGGGATGAGGATTATCGCCGACGCACCAAATGGGTAGAGTTTGTTGGGGTCGACTTCGATAGAGTACAACTGGGTCAGAGGAGCAACTGGTACTTTCGTGTTGGGGATCCGGTTGTGAATGTACGACGCGGCTTGATATGCGTGTCCCCAAAAGGTCTTCGGCAACTTGCTTTCATGGAGCATTGTTCGCGCCATATCCCCAAGTGTGCGATTCACCCGCTCAGCCTCGCCGTTTTGCTCCGGACTGTATGGTGTCACAGGAGCGTAGTTGATTCCTGTTGGCTGCAGAAGTTTCTTGAGCGTGCCGGTATATTCGGGCGCGTTGTCGGTCCTTATGCATTTTGGGTATCTACCTAGAACGGTCTTGATGTTTTCCGCCCACTCCATAATTTGAGCCGGAACCTGATCACGTGTCACTAATATTGCTGTCCAAATGTATGTAGTGGCGTGATCCCGGAGTGTCAGGAGGTATCTTCGACCAGATATGTCGTAGGGAAATGGCCCAGCGACGTCGGACACAAGAAGGTCAAGAGGCTCATCTCGCGGGATTAGAGAATTTGATCCTGGAGATTTGCGGTCAAGTGCTTTGGATACCGCACACTGCTCACAGAAGAACGACTTCCATGTCTTCTTTTTAATCTCATCTGGGTAGTGCAGGGTGAGGTATTTCCTCACAATCGCCTCTGACACGTGTCCCAGCCGGCGATGCCATAGGTATGGATCGAAGGATGGAGTGGTTGTGATTTTATTGATTTCAAAAACATCCTTGCACATAGATAGGTACCAACAAAAGTTTCTGAAGCGAGTATGGAAATGGACATTGCTAGGACTAATGAGATCTGCCTTCTTTCCAGCGAAATTGAGTTTCCACCCCTGGTCTGTCAACCTTCCCACCGATAGAATCAGACCATCGACGCCGGGACAGTGGTATACATCATCGAATTCAATCGGACCCTTCGGAGTCTGGATCCTCACACGTCCCTTGAATCTAACATCGATCTTGCAGTCAGCAACGGCTAGGGATATGGTTCGTGGGATAGCTAGATCTTCGCGAGAGATGAAGATGTCCAGGTTTCCACTTACATGGGTCGAAGCACCAGAATCGATGAGTACTTTGCCATCGTTGACTTCCGGAACATCAAGTTGGCGGAGTCGATTTTGGGGAAAAGAGGGGCGGTTCGGGGGAAGGTAGTTTGATTGTGCATTGTCATAGTCGCGAGGAGGCGCGTCAATGACCTTTTGATCCACATCGTCCCAGAACGCCGCGCAGTTATTGTACCAATGACCGGTTTGATTACAATAATGACATTTGTCGCCGTACCTCGTCTTCAGAACTTCGTTCAGTGGTTTTCCCCTGAAACGGTTGGCCTTATCGACGGAGAGGCTGGACTTCTGGCGATCTTGTCGAGCCGGTTGAAGCTGTCGGCGATGAGGAGCAGCATATTTGGGTTCGTTGTTCCTCATTGCATGGACTGCATCGAGGTCCATCGGGGCGTAGCCGTCAGTTGGAGCGGGGGTCTTGTTCTTCGACTTGCTGGAGGCCGATTGAATCACTGTCGCCACATCGCTGAAAGACGGTTTGTCTTTCGAATCGAGGTGTTGATCGACGGAGAACTCGAAGGTTTTCGGATCAACGCCTACAGGTGCGACGAATGAACTTTGAAGGAACAATCCTCCAAGTTCGTCGGTCGTGATCTTGTATTGAGTGACTTCAGCCATCACTCGACTCCACTTGGCCAGGCTGACCTCCGATCCAGGCGTCTTGTCAGTCGCTAAAGTGATTATTTGCTCGACCAACGAAAGTTTGTGTCGACGGTCCGAGCGGCTACACTTGGCTTTCAAGAGTTCGAAGATTGACCACGGATCTTCCTTGTCGGTGCTATCGACGATCCCCAGGAGGTCTTCATTGATTGTGGACCGGATCAGTCTCGCAATCGTATCTTGTTCGTCGAGCAGGCGTTCTGTGAAGTTGGCTTCCGAGCTCGTGAAACTCTTGATTTGAAAAACCTGACGGAGCGTGCGATTTAACTCCTTCTCCCAGATCTGAAAGTTGACACCGTCGTAGGTGAGCTTTGTCTTAGCTGGGTTGGCCGCATGATGGATTCCAATCGGGTCCTTGTTGAAATTGCGGATGACGATTTCTGACCGAGTGAGGGCTGACGACGATCCACCTGGGTTTCCGGACTGGGGCAGCAGAAGTTTTAATTTTTCGAATTCATTTTTCAGGAATAGATAGTCCTGAGCAGTTGGGACTGTGTCCATCTTTAATTCTTCGAGCGATTCTAATATTTTTTTATTGTTTTCTCTTTCTATGAATTTCTTTTCTATTTCTTTTTGATGTTTTAATCTTTCTTCTTCGATTTCTTTTTTATAGTTTTCTAATTTTATTTTTTCTAATTCTTCTTCTTTTCTTTGCTTCTCTTTTGTTTCGCTTTCTGCTCTTTCTTTAATGTTTCTAAAATCAACGCTTCTGCTACGTCCAGCACCGGTCATCCAGGCAAATCGTGCCTCCCAAGAAATTTCGTACGAATACCACTCGCGTTTAGGTAGAGCTGGCTTTTAACCTGTGAAGAACTGATACAACGATCACAACGATGAGCACAGGTACGCTCCGGGTATCGGACTCCAAATCTCGGTATGAATTGCTACTCACCTGATACAACGATCACAACGATGAGCACAGGTACGCTCCGGGTATCGGACTCCAAATCTCGGTGAAGAGAGAGAGAGGAGCCGGTACCCGGCGCACATGACAACTAGACTAAATACATTGGTTCCGCCGCAGCAGTTAGACTAGGTTTAGAGTGATGATGAATAAGATTGAACACATGTAAATCTACGCTAAACATAGTTTGTGATCTTGTCACTCCGCGCTAACTCTAACACACAGAATCATGAGATCCACCACAATCCTGCAATCTTCTGATCAAGACCTTTCTGAAGGGCCCGTTGAAGCATATCTACATAGCAAAACCATCAAACCAACTCGTCTTACAGTGGGGGACACCATATTTCTGTATTGTGTTTTGAAGAATGCTTGGACGGATTTGCAGGATCTGCACTCGAAAATCCTGGATTTTCATCAATTTAAGTTTGGATTTTTATTTTATTCTTTTCCCTCTTAAAGCCATGATGTCGTCATAGACAATCACCTTTGCCACAGCAACCTCCATCAATTCGGATTCACCATCCAGGTGGCCAGCTGCCTCCAATCCACCTCCCCCCCACCCCCAAACCGCTAAAAACGACCAACAGACGATAGCATCAGCGGCTCAACAATTGGATCAATAACACAGTCGGAATAAAAGATTCTTGGAAGCAACAAAACATCGTCCGATTATCTTATTGCTAGCAAATTCCGGAGGATCCACTGAACCAGTCCACTGTCATCCGAATTCCCGGTGAGTACTGCATAATCTCAACACTACTTGGGAAACATGTGGGTTCTTATCAATTTTGCCTTGTTCCCTCTATACGCAGGCACATATATTCACTTCAACTTGCGCACTTTGATGCTGTTGATCTTAACCTGTTTCCTATCATGCTTCTTGCCCAATTCAGTAATATTGATCCTGACCTGTTTTCTATCATCGTTGTCATCCTATTTATGTGTGATTTTGTTGTGATCTTGAAGATTGGTATAAATCAGATCTTACATTCAATATCCAATTGAATTGATGAGATGTGTACGAGCAGTCTTTGAGTTGTCATCGATGCAATGCAAGCCTTGTCAAAAGTGACCGATCTCAAGACTAGAGTCGGATTGAATAAGTTGGTGAAGGAAACCCATCCAGATATTAGAGTGGATCCTTATCTACAGCTCACAACTTGTCACTTCATTCACTAAGCTCCTGGATTAAAGCTTCAAAAGCCTCAGGAGTGATAATTGAATGGTCTTCAGCGGTCAAATGGGAGTGAATTCAAAGTCTTTTTTGTTACAAGATTTTTAGATAAAGACAGACACTCTGATTTCCTGGTTACACTAATTTTTTTTGTTCGTTCAAGGATCAGATAAGCAACAACATTCAAACCATGAAAAGCAAGAGAGATAAACTGAAACTTTGAGTCAAAGATCACACCGATAAGTTGAACGATGGTTATTTGAGGTTTTTGTGATAGATTACTGAGGTGATAATGCAAAACAGTCAATCCAGGGAAGTTAGTTGTGCCCTAAAAGCAAGATTTTATATGGATCTCAATGTGAACCTGTGGTGGGGAAACAAAGATGAAAATGCCATTTAAAATGTTTAGTTTGATGCAACACAGAACTCACAGTGTCGGAGCAAAGATCGACCATCATAACATGTGTGATCGTTTGTCGAATCGCCAATTCAATTTCTGGGTTATCGGCCTGAGTCAGGACTTGTGAAGCCTGCAGTCACTGTTTAAATGCTGCAAAGCCGAGTTCAATTGCAAGCAAGATGTCACATTAGGTCTCCTCATATGGCAAAACAACTACGGAGAAATCAGACACTAACCATTGCTTGGCCTAAACCAGGGGTCCTTGAAGTGCCGTTTGGATCACACAAATTCAATTGGATACCCCCTTGTATTGATGTTTTGGTTGGGATCGGTGCGAGGATAATCGGGAGGATTGGTGGTGGTGGTGGTAGGGGTGATGGTCAGCTAGGATGCCTATTTCTGCTTGATCACAGCAGGGTGGATCAAACCAGAGCTGTGTGGCAAAAATCAGCAGCTTAAACTGCTGAACAGCACCATAACACCATAACTTTGGTGCTTGGAAAACTTCCGTTTGTCCAAGCATTATTCAAAAGACAATAACAACTTTTTGGGTGTCCGAAATGTTGGGTGCAATTTTTTTTTGAAAATCCCCCCGGGGGGGGTAGGGGGGATGGGATAGGGGAGGCTTAGGTTTGAGGACTTTTTGAAAGATGATCGGTCTATAGCACCACTCACAACTTTCAATCAAATATTACACAACCCATATTAAGAGTGATGGCGAAGAGTATAAAGGCTTCAAAAGCCCAGATAAAGAGATGGGCAGAGGAAAAAAACGATCCAACACGTACCAGAAAGAAAGCAAGACACTCTCAAGTTGATCCAATCCAAATCGAATCATCTAGCGACAACGAAAACCCTTCTGATCAACCTTTGGGCACCTCAAATCAACCTATCTCTGTGCCGGATGACAACAATGCGCTTGCAGAAGATGGCCTGATTAACCGATTCCAGGAAAGGGAGATAGAAGAGGTTGATGAAGCACATGATATGATTCAGTTTCTGCACGAGTCACTTGACGATCCGACATCTGATGAAGGAGAAGATCTAGACGGCAATAGCGATTCTGACACTGAAGATACACCATCCAACTTCTGGCCTTTGTTCTTTGGAAAAAACAAGCCTTCAATAACAACCAGTCAACGTAAATTAAAGTCAGGTCGAACTGGCTATCAGAAACCTGTTTCAAATCCGTTGTCAACCTCAGGAAAGCTTGTTCCTAGACCACTGCCACGACAAACAAAACATGATTATCACAAAAACTTCATCAAAGCTGTTGGAAAAGGTAATATGATGATGGAGAACTTCATCACAAGGACTCCTGGGGTTCCAAGACCGGCTGCTTCACTGGCTTCCAGCACCAATTTGACTCCGATTCCAGAACTTCCCCCAATACAATCACCCAATAGTGACCCAACTGCAACAAACCAAAACTTGGTTGAACTCCGGCTTGAATTGCACTTCAATCGTTACCACTCTGCACCACAAAAGAAAGTAGTCAACAAAGATGAAAAACTCAAATCAAAAGCAAAGCATCGATGGCAACAGCTTAATTCAGCAATCGTATCGGCCATCAAGTTGTGTCAAGAAAAGTTAAAGCAAGACCCTTTGTTCAAATATCCTCATGCCACTATTGCAAATCTCAACGAGTTCAACCACCTTTGACACCAATTCACCATTGAAAGAATACCATCACCCAGTGTAACCGCTTCCTTGGCAACAGCTAAATCTGCTATACGTCGACAGCTTGTCTCTTCCTCCAGCATAAATGAACCACCACCATCTAGCAGTGGACTTAACCAAGCTCGGATAATTTCAAAGCAAGCTCGACATGTTTTGGCTCACAAAGAATTCTTGGAAACACAATTGGGAAACAAGACAGTCCATCAATCACTCCTGAACAATCCAGAGGTCAGAAAAGCTTTGTTTGCTTGGGCTGCAGCTCAAACTCCCGGTGAAGTAAGTCACAGTATTTAACTGACATGAACCGATACAGATAAAAAATTAATTCATAAAACAATTCATCCTCAGGTCACTCCAGCAACTCTCCACCACCATGTCAACCATACAATTTTACCCAAGTGTAAAATTGAGCGAACAGTCACTATCAAATCTGTGACTCAATGGATGTATAAGCTGGGGTTTAGTCGCCAAGAATACCGAAAATCTCAGTACTTTGATGGGCACGAGCGGCCTGATGTGGTTTTATCTAGAAAGAAATATGTCGACGATTACCTCCTTCTTCGACAACGATCTCGCAAATACGGAGGTGAAAATTTTGAGATCTCAACAGAGATTGATCCTGAAATCTTAGGTCACATGAAAGAAACCATTTTTATTTTTCATGACGAATCAACGATACATGCAAAAGAGAGACCTAGTAAAACTTGGCTTCTCCCTGGGACTAGCGAGTTACGATCTAAAAGCTCAGGTCGATTGATTCATATTTCCGACTTCATTCTTGAATCTACAGGTCGACTTGTCTTATCAAAAGACGAATTGGAGAAATTGAAAACAAAACAACCAACTGGAGTCAGAAGACGTGGCCACTATCATTTACCCTGGTTCAACTGGAGATAAATGGTGGGACATGTAACAATTGTGTCACCAAGTCTCACAAAAAGCGATTCCAATATTTGAATCACTTCACCCGAATGCTCAGGGTGTGTTTGTGTTTGATTGCTCATCAGCCCATGGCGCTTTTTCACCCTCGGCTTTGAGAGTCCAAAAGATGAATCTAGGACATGGCGGTAAACAGGCACGGCTCAGAGATACCGTTATTCCTAGCGATGATCCGCTTATTCCTCTTCATCTTCACGGTCAGCCTCAAACACTCTCTTACGATGATTCACATCCTGACCCTGAACGAGCTGGAAAACAAAAGGGGGTCAAAGCTGTCCTCGAAGAAAGAGGACTTTGGCAGCACTATACTCGCCAATCGCAAGAATCTGGTAAACCAGCTCTAACATTATCTTGCAAAACTTGTACAACTTCAAACATTTGGAAAGATGCAATTTCACGTGCCGAACGACTGATCCAACAGGCGGAAGACTGCGGTTATTTCTTATCAAATGCTCAATCAATGTCCGAGATCGCAGAAACTGAAGCTGCCAAAAATCAAGAGTCTGAAGAATCAACATTGGATCCAGTTCCAAACGATGCAGGCAGCATGTGCTGCTGGTCCAGAATCCTATCCCTTCAATCGGATTTCGCCAACGAACGACCCCTCTTGCAAACAATTATAGAAGACCGAGGGCACATCTGCCTTTTTTTACCAAAAATTTCACTGCGAATTAAATCCAATAGAACTTTTTTGGTCATACATCAAGCAGGGTCAGTTGCTTCAATTTTCCTGCATTATCATTTTTTTGAGAACACACACTGACGACTCATTGACCCTCTCTTATATTAAGCATACCGAAAGAAGTCGCATACAATATGTAAGTTTTTCAAAGACTCCAAGGATCTATTCGAGATGGTCCGCAAGTCATGCCCACTCATCAATATCAGGAAGTACTTCTGTCGGACCGATCGACAAGTCAATGTCTATCAACAAGGATACAATGGGGCTCAATCCCAAATCCTCATGAAAAAATACAAATCTCATCGGTGCATTCCTAGAAATGCAGCAATGCGAATTGACATGCTCACATCTTGAGCTGTGTCTCATTCATTCATCACTATCAATTGACATGATAACTTTTTGTGTCTCATTGATTCATCACTATTGTTTTTTGTGTCTCATTGATTCTTCACTATCAATCGTTTTATCTCCTACTTCATCAATTTTTGTTTGCTCGTTTATCATTTCCCTTTGATTCATCAGTACTAGGGAATAGCGTGGATGGGGCCACGTTCATCAATTTGTTCATTCAATTTACACATAACTACAAGGTCAAAGTTATAGTTTAAATGATTCATTTGTGATACTTCAACAATGTTTCATTTACAACATTTGATGTGGTTTTACTCCAGTCTCAGATAGCAGATCAATACAAAGACTATCTAAGGAAGTGACCCATGACAATGCCACATACAACTGACCATGGCCAAAGACAGTAAACAAAGTCCTACCTTATCTAGAGATTACCCCTGGCATTTTTTATTGTCAAACAAAACTCACTAACCACTGGATATTGAAATCTAGAGAAAGTTGTGCTGAAATCAAGGTCAGGTTCATCCATGAGCATTATCCTAGGTATCATATGTATACAGTTGCGGATGCCAAAAACTGACCCTGCCCTTTCCGCAAAAAAGTGCCCACTTTGGGCTGTATGCCTGACCGTAATAAGCATGCTACATGCACATACTTTGCATCATTGGATGCTACATTTGATGCAGAACATAAAATTATGTAGTACACTTGGTAAGACGGTCTCTAAGAGTTTTTTTTTCTGTTTGAGACTTGCTACCAAGTTGTACTACATAATTTTGTATTCTACATCCGATGTAGCATTGAAATATGCAAAATTTGTGCACCTACCATAATTATTACAAGCTGCAATAGGCCTCAAAGTTGGCACTTTTTTGCGGAAAGGGCAGGGTTGATTTTTGCCATCCGCAACTGTAGTACCGGAATAAGGGCTGGTCACAATCTTGGCCTGAAGAATTTTTGGTTGAATATCCTTGATTATAAGTTATGACACAACTTTTCCTATTTAATTTGAACTCAAAGTAAGCAAAGTTGAGTGGTAATCTTGTGGGATTTGTGCTGATGAATTAGTTGGTTGATGCTTCCTTAGGGGTATGGGAATACTAAATACTTTAAGATATCTAATGAGTATTACAGATGATATTGATTCTGGTGTTTTTGGATGTTCAACTTCAACACACACTGCAAAAGGTGTTGTATTGGTAACACCCCTCAGAGTAATTTGGCCCGGAGGTGACCAATACAAGATTGGTCTTGACCAATTTTATATTTGCCCAGCCAACCAATACATTTTTCCTTTTTTCCAATGTATTGGTGGGCCCAAATGATATAAAATTGGTTGAGGAGATCAATCTGACACTTAAGGTCAACAACAGTACCCTTAACAACGGTGGGCCGCTACACTAACCGTAGCGGTTAGTGTAGCGTAACGCAGCGGAATCGCTGTTAGTGATTAGCGTAGCGTAGCGGAATTCCGCCACAACACCGCTAACCCTACGCATGTGGGCCGCAAAAAAGGGCCCACTACGCTGCGCTACAGCAGTTTTTGGCCGCTTTTTCCGCTAAAAGCGCTGTAGCGCAGTGTAGCATCGCGAAAAACCGCTAAAAAACCGCTAACACTACGGTTTTTGGATGAAAAAAGCGCCGCTACGCTACACTTTTTGGGCCAAAAGCGTAGTGTAGCGGCCCACCGCTGCCCTTAACACTACATAACAAAACTATCACAAAAATTTGCAGTTTTAAGGGAATTCACTGTTTTGGATTAGCTTTTTTGGATTAAGCTCTTTCAAGAAACAGTCCAATTATCTACAACAAGCTTGTTACATTTTTGACACATTCAGGACTGGTTCAAATGAAACCATACATTCCTCCAAGAGTGGTGGGGTTTCAAAATTCAGTATAATATGTAAATCCAAAACTGAGTTTTGGCACAGAATAGGAATACCATAATCCCTGATAAAACTCATTTCTCCACTCCTCTACATACGTTTTTTCACATTCATCAACACAGTTCAATTTGGAAGTGTTAAATTTCTACTTGAGCTCATCATGTTATTCAAGCAGATCATCCAAATTTTTTACTCAAGTTATCATTTTCATTTTGAAATGATAATCATGAAAACAGTGAAAAACTTGAAAATTGTGATAATTTTGCCTGAATTGAATCTACAAGGAATTTTTTTTACTGTTCTTCTTCAGAACAGAACAACTTGTTCTATCTTTAATTCCACAACTATATTCAGCCCCCCTGAATATTCAAATGGGGCAGAGAGTTCAATCTCACAGAAGACAGGCTATAATTGGCATACATAGCTAAATGAAAAAAAAACATCATTGAATTCCCATCATGGAGTTTACATGTCATTTGTGTCATGGAGTAGCATGCAGTGTATGCGCTGAACAGCAATCAATTTAGGTAACCAATCAGAATGTATGGCATCCCATGCTGCCACACTCATTGAAAACCTCAAGGACAAACGACACTGTAGAACTTCATAAGACTTTAGGCCCGGTTGAGGCCATAGCTGATTTTGGCACAATTGGATGATTTAATCTCAACAGTTGAATATTCTCTGGAAAGGAAATGGTTGGTTTCTGTGGAGGATATGTTTTTCTGATCGCGGGTTGGAGGTGGCTGGCAAGAATGCAGAGGATCAATTTATTATGCTTTGTAATGAAGGCGGGGGTAACCAGTTGAGATTGAGATAGATGCAATGTAACGATTTTGATGGCAGCCCAACAAAAGGAACCGACATGTACGCTTTTGTTTTCATTATATGTGTTCAGATACCCAGCGGTGAAGATTAGAAGCATCTTTGTTGAGATACCTGACGGTAAGGAGATGAGACACCAGGATCAAATCAAACTTTGTTTTTGTTATCTTTGAGTCGACGCTGTACGTGTGCTGAAAATGTCGAGCAGAGGGAACGA